TGTGGAGAGTGCTAGCCAGCCACACCTACATTCATTACAGCTCTGGTGGGGAGAGCAGCAACCAAGTCGAGATCAATCCCCCACGCATTAGGAAGTGTAGCATTAGTAGTATTAGTCGTAAGCAATAGCAGCAACAGTACTAGTAGTACTAGCAGGGTTCGAACACCGGTGTTTGAACTCTGAGTTCAACTTCCGTTCCAAATGTTTGAACTCAGGGTTCAACTTCAACTCGAGTTCCAATGTTATGTTCCGAGCCCCCCCCCCCCCGGACCCCCCCAGGTGTTCGAACGCCCTGCAAAAAACCCATGTTCCTGTGATGTTGCCAGCGCCGAACCACTTTCAATGAAGGGGACTTGAAGGGAGGGAGCAAAAGGGGAGCTTCAACGGTGGGTAACAAGGGGGTTGAAGGATTGTCTCATTTTGTCTTCTTCGCAAAACCATCTCGTGTGGCATGTTATTTTCTTTGCAGGATGGCTTCTTGTTCTTTTGTGTTTGTGACTATCTTTGTTTTTTTGCATTTGAATTTATTTGGGTTCGTGTGGCTTCTTCTTCTTCTGTTGTGCTTGAAACCCTTCTTGAAGCCCCCTCTTGAAGCTCCTTAAAGTCCCTTCAAGCTCGCCTCAAGCTCCCTTCAAACCCTTCAAGCCCTTAAGCTTCCCCTTCAAGCCCCCTTACCCCCTTCAAGCCTCGGTTCAAGCCCATTCATCCTTTCCTCCTGAAGCCGCCCTTCAGGAAGATTGAATCCACTCTTAAGCCCCAAGCCCATTAAGTCTCCTCCTGAAGGTCTGGACCAAGCCCTAAATCGTGCACTTTGAAAGCACTTGCTGTCAGATTCCACTCTTATCACTCAATTTTTTTCAAAGAAGAACATAAAACCACATTTCCGGTGTTTTTCTGTCAACACGCAGAATTTTTGAAAGAACATGATGTTGCTTAACAAGACTTGCTAAAAGTCACGGATCTGTTTTTCTGGCGAACTTTGGACTTTGTGGACTTTTGTGTGTGCGACCTCGCTGAAAAACAAGGCACGAGGACCGTTGTCTGACGGGACTAGACGGCTGTCGGAGCTTTTCTTGGGCTCACTCGTTGTCTTGGACGGCTTGGAACGACGCTCTCTGTCGCTTTAGCTCGAAGTCGCTGAGATGAGCCCCTTTTTTTTGACGCACGGCCCATGCTGACCAAGTCCGCACGCCGCAGCTAGTACGAGCATCCTTTCCTTGCCGACGTTTCACCGCTGTTTTCGTGTTTTTGTTTGTGTGTTCAGATGTTTCCTGGGACCAAGCACTGCAGCCGCAGCCATCGAGGCCCGCAGGCGCCAAAAAAAAATCTTGCAAAAAAGAAAACCAAACAAAGAAATTCGGGTTGCTCTTTGTTTCGACCAAGAAATGTTTTTTTTTTTCAGACCGCGCGTTTGGTCCATCTTGATTTCGAACACCGGCATGTCTTTTTTCCAACCTCCATCTTTTTTTCAACCCCGCGACCAGGTCTAGAAACAGATTACGATCATTTTTTCGACCTCCACTCTACGATTCAAGCCGTTTTTTTCTCGGCCCCGAAACATCTCGTACCTGACCCCGTGTCTTCTTTCGGACCCCGGTTGATTTTTTCTGGGCCTCTAATGTCTTTTTTTGACCTCTGCAAAGATAGAGGCATGCACACATGACATATCAAACAACACAACGAAGAGCGCTGCAATATGAATTTTTGCAACGCAAACTGGACAAAAACTAACATACTATCTTCAAACCAACATCTTCTCAGACACACAAGAAGAAGAAGCACGAAATCGCTTTAGGGGCTGAAAGCGAACGAAAGAAATTAAACTGTGTCATCGAAAATAGAATCAAAACAAAAACGTTTTCCAACACGAAGGAAGGAGAAGCCACACGATATCGCTTTAAGGGGCAAAAGCAAAAAATAAAATGAACTGGTGGAAATTGAAAACACACACACGACAAAGAATTGATGTTTTTCCAGCCCCAACTTGTTTTTTCTGGCCCCTGCTTGTGGCCGAAAAAAAGATCAGAGCCTTTTTCTGGACCGCGGATGTCAAGCAAAAAGGAAAAAGATCGCGCAGTCTGGAAGAAGACATCTCGGCATCTGGAAAAAGACCAGCCGAAGAAATTCAATTTGCGTAAAATTATCAAGAAAATTTTTCTGATGCAAAAACAAAGTGATATTGAATGTTCAAGTCCGATGTTAAAACTTTTTCCTTTTTCCATGGAGAAAGCTACAACTAGAGCTAGAAGGAGCTAGAGCTAGCGAAAGAGCTAGAGCTGAAGCTGGAGCTGAAGCTAGAGCTGGAGCAGGAGCTGGGGCTAGAGCTAGAGCTAGGGAGAAAGCTACGACAAGAGCTGGGGCTGGAACAGGAGTTGGAACTAGAGCTAGAACCAGGGAGAGAGCTACAAGTAGAGCTTGGAGCGAGCTACAATTAGAGCTGGAGCAGGGAGCTGGAACTGGAGCTACAGCTAGGGAGAGAGCTACAACTAGAGCAGAGCTGGAGTTGGAGCTACAGCTGGAGCTAGAGCTGGAGCTAGAGCCAGAGCCAGGGAAAAAGCTCCAACTAGAGCTAGAGCCTAGAGCTGAAGCTAGAGCTGGGTAGGAGCTAGAGCTAGAGCTAGAGCCAGGGAGAGAGCTACAACTAGAGCTAGCAGGAGCTGGAGCTAGAGCTAGAGCTCGGGAGAGAGCTACATTTTGAGCTGGAGCCAGAGCTGGACCGCTTTCCGTCCGAGCGGCTGCTTTGGTTCTCGCACCGCTACACAGTCGGAGATTTCACCGGCTTGGGTCTCCCTATGCAGCCCGATGCCAACTTGGACATCTCCAGCTATTTGGGTGATAATAGTGGTGCTGAATCTGTGTGTAACAAGCTCTACACCTCGAAAGTGCCGCTTAATCTCTGTGTTGGAAAGCTTTCCGTGTGGGGCTCGATCACCGGCGTCACCCTGGACTGCAGTCACATCTCTGGCGAAAAGAATGTTGACGCAGATCTGCTTTCTCGGTGGGACGGTTCTTCCAGCTTGCCTGAGAAATTCGAGCCAGTGAATCGCATTGAGCTTTCACTGTCGGAGATTGGGCATGTCAGCTTTCAAGTGGCACTTTCTCCCTCAGATACCTTCTTGAAGTGGCAGCTTCCTGCGCCCAACACTCTTGGCCCGACGAACAGGAGCTCCAGCAAGCGCAAGTAATGACAGCTTGGCGGCGTCCTCACCTCACTTTTCTGCTTGGCTTGTCAGAGCGTCTTGCGAGGTTTCGGCTTGCCAGTTTCAAACCCGGGCTTTTGCGACTGCTCCGCTGCACCAGCTTTTCGTTCCTGGAGGGTGGAAGACTTTTCCGGAACACTTTACCAAAGACCGAGCAGTCGCTGCACCGGCAAGCCGAAAAAGAGTGAACGTCCGAGTGAAGCCTCTGTCAACAGTTCCTGCTTTCATGTTCTTGCAGTAGCCTCGCTGTAGCCTTTTGGTGTTGCGTGGTGTTGTACTGTCCCGAACGGTTCCTGTCTTTACTCAAGGTTGTTTTGGGCAGTACTCACCCCGCTGCCCCCTCTTGGGTTCAAGCATACACCACGCAACAACAGCTTGCTTTTACAAAACTTTCCCACCCGCCCACACCATTGGGCATGCTTTCAGCAATCGGAGCTTTTCCGCTGAGAATACTTCTGTTGCTTTTCGCTTTTCTTGCTTTTTATACATACTTTCGCTGCTTTACTACGTTTACAAAACGATACGGGCTTTTGCGACTGCTCCGCTGCACCAGCGTTTAATTCCTGGAGGGTCGAAGACCTTTCCGTTTACCAGAGACCGAGCAGTCGCTGCACCGGCAAGCCGAAAAAGAGTGAACGTCCGAGTGAAGCCTTTTTCAACAGTTCCTGCTTTCATGTTCTTGCAGTAGCCTCGCTGTAGCCTTTTGGTGTTGCGTGGTGTAGTGCTGTCCCGAACGCTTGGCTTCCAGTGAAATGGTCAACATGTGTGCTTCGCAACAAACTTCTGGTTTTTTGGCACGCATATTGTGCCCGTGGATGTGAGTGTAATCTGCAAGATCCGGTCAGTTTTCGCTGGTACCATGAAAAGTGCAAGCTTTCTCATGCAAAAAACACAACACTTAGGCCCTAAGGCGCCCTCAAACACTGACAGCGGCAAAAGCCCGATGGGCCAGCGTGGCCAGCCCCTGAAAACCACGACCTAAAGTTGCAGCCGTGTTTTAGGCCAGATCTACGAATCTTGGTGTCAATCCAGCGGATTCAAACGTCGGAAGACCTTCGCGGTTCCCGAATAACAGCACCACACTTGCGAAAAACTTTTGGATCCTTCTTAGATATTGTCCGTTCAGTGCGCATATGTCAGGTTGCCCATTGTGTTGGGAGGAAACTGCAACGTGCTCCAAGGGACGGCTTGCCCAGCCTCTTTATTCATGCCGCAGAGGATGGTGTAAGACTGATTGATTGCCTAGGAGCATTTTGTCAGTTCTTCTTCGAGAGAGCACTTTCGGAGGTCGGAGGTTGCAAGCACGAAAATGCTGCGGGGTTTTTGGTCGTGTGCAGCCTTTGATGCTTTCCCATATGCATGTGCTAAACAGCGATGGAGAGGGTGCGGTTGTGTGGTTTATGGCTCAGTTACTGAACCATACAATGAACAGCCTCGAAGCACCCATTCAAAATACCAGTCTCCATCATGTAGACAGGTGGCATTGCCACGTGGCATAACGTGACATGCAACGAGAAACCGGTGAGCTATCAATCTTCAGCCAGTCCTGATGGTATGCAAGCCTTGTGACCTTTTGCGTATAGTAGATAATGAAACAATTATGTAAAGAGCCATGTAAGAATAGCTGTGTGTGGTGCAGAGGCTCGAGGGCACTTTCACAGCAAAATGTCGACATGTTGTCGCATCGATGTTTGACAGGTAGCCGATTAGGCCACGGTCGTATGGATGTGCCGTCGATTCGAAGCGTGCGTGATTGCAAAATTCATCATGCCGTTGCGACTTTCTGTGCTTTGAAGGCCGATGAGCCGACGCCGCGGTGCGTTCTCAGCATTTGAGAAAACTGCAAGTCAGGCCGTGGACCCACCCGGCAGCCGTTTATTTCGGGCGATGTTCGGTACGCGAATGTTCCGTGTTCTGAGACTCGGTTCTTGGCCCCACTTTTTTCAGGGAATTCACAGATTTGCAGTCATAGGGTCATAGGGTCACTGTCTAATGCCGTCGTTGCTCTCAGGACTTCCCTCATGAGAGTAAGCTTCATGCAAAGTCCGGCACCCTGTGTTTGCATTTTCGTGTTCACATGTTTTGTGCCTGGAGCAGGCAGCAGCTGCCAGCCAGTCGAGTCAGCCCGATGTACCCAGGTCGTTCCAGTGGGGTCCTGGCTGTGTAGTGTGAAACAGGTTTGGTACAAGAGCCCAGAATCATTCCGAATCATGCGCCGTGATTGAGCTTAATGGTTGGTTGCACTTGCACCATGAGCGGCATCAGACGGTTGTTCACTTGACAGATCGTCAGGGAATCATCCATTCAAGTGGGCGCTGCGCGTGTCAGGACGATTGCAGTTTCCACTTCACATCAGCAGTTGGGCGATCGAAGTTGCGTGACAGGAGAGGTCCCCCCAAGTCTCTTTCCGTTCATGAGGTGGCGAGCCCAGGTGGCGACGGGTTTGTTGTTGCGGCTGGCGGTGGCGGTGGCGGGCGGTGGCGGGCGGTGGCGGGGGCCCCTTGCCAAGGCCAAGACGCTTCTGGAGCCTGGAGCCGAGCGGTTGAACCGGGCAGTAACCGACCGGGCAGTGATTGGTCCTGGTCTTCAGTGTTCGCGCACTTTTTCGCGGTTCCGCCGGGGGAGGTCTTTGCGATCCGCCAGTACCCACACTGACTTCCAGAAGGACTCCACAGATCTCCGACCTTGGTGGTTCCTTGTATTGAAGCCTTGGAACCGAAAGGCCCTTGTCAATCTTCGTGGCCGTGGATGGGGTGCCTTGAAGAAACGGGAGGCGGTGCAGTCGGAGCCAGCCTTTCTGGTCAACTTGGCACCACGAGACGGCAAGGCTGTGGCTCGCCTGTTGGGAATGGCATGGAAAGCACCACTGAAGGTGCGCGGTCTTTCCACGCTGATCTGGCTCTCCAGTTTGTTACAAAACAGGCTGCTGGTTTCAGCATTGACCAGTGGGGATTTCCGGAGATGCTGGCAGCGGTCGGTGCCCGAGAGTCTGAAAGTTTGCCACAATCCTTGCGTCTTGTGCTTGTCGTGCCCAGATCCGTGTTCATCACGCGCAGCCCGGCATCAAGACCTTGTCCGAGGAGATTGAGAGGCATCCCTCGTCGATATGACACTGATCAACGCACTGCAGGGAAAAGATGCGTGGATAGCCTCAGATTCTGAGACAAACAGATGCTTTTAGTTACTCACAGTCTGCAATGGATCGTCTTGCCCTCCTGACTTCAATTCCCGACGGTGGTCGGTCAAAGATTCGAGTCGCAGGCAGCTTCGATTTCAGCCTGGAGATCTCTTTGGATCCAAGGCCGTGTTTCATAGAGACTCCGTCTTCGAGACGTGGAACCCCTTTCAGATAGGCTGGAGCAATGAAGCAAACGTCTTCTGCGGCCGAAGCTGCTGCAGTTACGGAAGCGGAGGTTCAGGCTCACGGGTTGATTTGCGGTTTGAAGCCAAAGAGAAGAGCTACTCAGCGGTTTCAGGTCACAGTCACCCATCCCACCGACCGGGACTCCGTCGTGCAAGCCTGAGCTGGTCCAGAAATCTTCACACATGTCATTCGTGGCAGCCAAGATGTGGCAGCCATGATATCCCCCGACCGTGATTGCATCTGGCGAGCAGCCGCTGACGGAACGTTTCGTGAGGTCGTGAGTGTCCCTGGCAGCGCCAACATGAGGCAGGTAAAAGATGCCCTGGTCAGTTCCTTGAAACTGTCATTTGCCGCTTCCGAGTCAGAGCTACAGCAGCGTAGCTTGTGCTCCAAGGCTCGAAAGCTTGGCCGGCCGGAGGTCGCTCGAAATGGCCGCGGGCTCTGTCAGGTTTTGCCAAAGGATCAGCGTTTTCGTCAACTGCAGGTCGCATGGTGGTTGAAAGCCCGACTGGTGCTGGTGTCTTAGAGACTTAGACGTAATCCTACAGAGATGCGATCGGCTGCATGCTAGAGCAGCCTAGGATCTTCTACCTGTCCCAGACAGCCAAAGGCACGTACAAGATGAAGTTGGCGAAGCAAGTAGGACCTCATCTACCTTGAGCCAAAGGGTTGGATGTTGGCTGAACTTGCGAGGCTGGGTATGAAGCGACAGGTGTTCATCATGGGTGCCGTCCTGGGTTCAGGGCTGCCAGTAATGATGGACACTCTCGTAGTCTTGCATGATGCTACAACATCTGCATACCTTTTCGGCCTTTATGTTGACGTATATCTTGTCGTACTGCCGGTCAAGGCACCTCGTTGGCGACAACTCCGGCGGCTGGCAGCTTTGCAAGCCAACCTGCAGACCGTGCATGTTTGTCTCTGTAGATGTACTACACCAGTTGTGGTGGTGGTGGTGGTAGTAGTAGTACTGTAGAGTAGACTAAGTAGAACAAGTAGAGCAACTACAACTAGTAGTACTAGGGGTACTGGTAGTGCTGGACTAGTAGTTGCTGTAGTAGTAGTAGTAGTAGTAGTAGTAGTAGTAGTAGTAGTAGTAGTAGTAGTAGTAGTAGTAGTAGTAGTAGTAGTAGTAGTAGTAGTAGTAGTAGTAGTAGTAGTAGTAGTAGTAGTAGTAGTAGTAGTAGTAGTAGTAGTATAGTAGTATAGTAGTAGTAGTAGTAGTGGTAGTGGTAGTGGTAGTAGTAGTAGTAGTAGTAGTAGTAGTAGTAGTAGTAGTAGTAGTGGTAGTAGTAGTAGTAGCAGTAGTAGTAGTAGTAGTAGTAGTCGTAGTCGTAGGAGCAGTAGTAGTGGTAGTAGTAGTAGTAGTAGCCGCCACGGCTCAGACGTTTTGGAAGTTTCGCGTTGGCTTTCGAACAGGCTCTGGATTCCACCCTTGCGTTGCTAGAGGTCTCAAACAGGCCTCTCTCCGAACCACCCAGGGTTGGTGCCTCACGCTGAGCCATGTGCCATGTGCCAACTGTTTTCGTCTGAGCCGCCAGGTCCCAATTCCTGGACCCAGTACCCTGTCTCAACACGGGCCCACTGGGCAGGCGGTAGGGTTACCACTAACCTCGGCTTGCCTTGTGACGAAATAGCGGATGGCGCTGCTCCCAGTGCACTCACAAAATTATTCTCGGATAAGAAAGAAGTCTTTCAAGCATGTTTCCAATCAGGCGGCTGTCAGTCAGCAGCCTGTGACCTACCGTGGTCAGGTTTTAACCCCTGCTTTGCTCAGGCGCATGGGCAACTGCCCACCACAGTCTGGACCCAAGAGGTCTGCAGCACCACGATCTCGGGCAGGTAAAGCCACAAGGCCCCTCCGAGTTTTATCGTGGAATGCCGGACACCTGGGCCAGCAACAGTGATCCGAAATCAAGTCATGGCTGTCCACTGAGGCTAAACACGTATGTGACGTATTGGTCTTGCAGGAAACGCACTGGCAAACCACTGCGTCATTCAGTGTTGCAGGCTGGTACTGCATTTCATCCGCGTCTGCGGCTGATCCCAAAGCTTCCAGGAAAAAACGGCGCGGGGGCACGGCCCACCCACAACCCCCCGCGGAGGCAATGCCTAATGACGACGCACCGACCCCGCCCCGCAAGGAGCCGTCCACGACTAGAGCGGATGGGGTTATGGTCTTGTTGTCACCTTACATCCCTGCTAGAGGCGTTCGGTGGCAGGAGCACGTCATAGGCAAAGCCTTAGAGGTCAGGTTCGATTGGCACGGCGCCAGATTCACAGTTGCTGCAGTCTATCAGCATGTGTGGTCGCCGGCAAAGCAAGTTCAGTCCAATCGCCAAGACCGGGCTCAGGTACTCAAGGCACTCAGCCGATGTGTACAGCGGGTACCACACCGCGACACTCTAATCCTGGCAGGCGACTTCAACAGCTCTGTCACCAGGCAAGCCAGATTGGTTGGCTCAGCAACTCTTGCACCACAGGACCCGCGACCTGACGAGACAGAGCTCACGAATTTTCTGCTCAATCATCGTCTAGTAGCTCTTAATACCTGGGGTCCCCAGCCGTGCAAGGGGACACGCGTACCCAAATAGACTACGTACTCACGAGAGAAGCCTCGGCCGGTAGCACTGCTAAAGCGTCCACACCGCTAGCAGACTTTCCACTGGGCAGCTGGAAAAGGGAGGACATCTACCAATCAGTGCGACTGTCAAGCCGGTGCGACGCTGGAATTTGCCCGCTCCTCAGATCCAGCGGCACGAATACGATGCAGCTGCACTGCAAGCAGCAGTCCGGGAGGACACGCCGCCGGCTCAGCACATGCTAGAGTGGGTCAAGGAACGCTTAACACCGGAGATGCAGCCGGAGGCCTGGGACAGCCTTCTCAGCGAGGCCACCACCCTTTTCTTCCCCAAACTCCCGGTGGCAATGCCTGACAGTCCAGAGACGCTGATTGCCAAGCGCATGTGGCGTACTGCACGTGGGAGCACTGCTCACTCTAGCACAATGTCATCAACTGACGTAGAGAAGCATGAGACTTTGCAAGCTCAGCACAAGCAGGCCGTCAAGCAGGCACGAAAGGACAAAACCAGACACTTCCTAGCGGAGGTGGACCAGTCCATAGCTCAAGGGGATCAGCACTTAAGCCATGGAAACCCGCACTTAAGGCGCAACTGAAGGACTCACAAGGCTTCCTGCTTAGTCCCAACAACGAGCTAGCGGAGCTGGGAAAATTTGTCACTAAGGTCTTTGCGGCGCATTCACAGCTCCAACCGGAGTGAGGGACTTTGCTCTCTTTGTCCGCAGCCAAACTAGCCAAGCATATCGCTTCGATAAAGCCAGGTAAGGCAGTCCCGAAAGGCTCCGCACCAGCAGCCGCATGGAAACTCTGCGCTCAACCTGTCTCCGAGGCGTTAGCGACCTACTGCTCCTCCTTGACACAGGACCAGGATCTCGTTGACGACTTGACCCGTGCTGACCTCTGTTTGATTCCGAAGCCTGGCAAGCCGGCAGATATGCCCTCTCAGCTTCGACCGCAATGCATACTTCTCCCGGATGCTAAGGGGCTGGCGAGTCGGGTGGTTACAACTCTGTCGCAATGCGAACCTAACTAGGGCTGATCAGCAGCGGGGACAATGTCCTGTCGGTCTCGTAGGCGGGATCACGTTCGCCTTATAGACCTCTCGCAGGCCTTTGATACTGTTTCGCGCAGCGAGATACTCTCCCTGTTAAACGAGCTCGGCGCGGACCCTCCGCTACAGAAGCTGAGCCACGGACTGCATCACCGATCAAAGTACAGACTCCACTCACAAGGGGCGTACAAGGACGTGGAGACCGCAGGTATCAAACAGGGATACAAGCTGGCTCCCACTCTCTTTTCGGTGCTCACGGGCCGCCTTCTGCACAGGTTGATAAGCACGTTTGGCTGGGACAATGTCCGACGCTTCTTCATGGGGTACGCGGATGACTTCACCATGCATCGCACCAGCCGAAGCAAAGCGGACGTTGACGCAGCCCACAAGCTAATCCTGCAATTACTAGCGGAGGTTGAGAAACTGAAGCTTTGCGTCAACCCTGCCAAATGTGCCATGCTTGTTAAGCTCAATGGCAGAGAGGCGGAAGCAATGCTTCAGCGGCACACGTGCTGGCTCCCCGACTCTGAGGGGCAACTACAGAAGCACTGGCGCCTAGGTAAGCACAAGTCTTTCCCGGCTTACAAGCTAGGGACCCAGATCAAGTATCTGGGCATACAAATCTCTTACGGGAACTTTGAGATGCAAACACTACGCTTTCGCATCGCGGCGGCTGCCAAAAAGCTCCAGCAGGTCAGGCGATTTGTCTACAATCGCCGCACTGCGGGGCCAATGGCCAGGCTCAGCGTCGGGTTCACTACCGTCTGGGGAGTTGGCCTCACCGAGGAAACAGCTAGACACCTCAGAGGCGCACAAGCTAAGGTCAGTCCTTAACCAGCCTGCCCATATCAGTCACATGCCAACGGCAGATCTGTATCGACTGCGCTCGATTCAGGACCCGGTAGCTAAAGTAAGGGACAGGATGTCCTCCCGGCCAAAAACGACTGTGCTTGCGAACAGACCCCGCAGAGGTATTGGCACATGACATGAACGAGGAACCTCCGACCGCTCCCCGGACTACACTAAGTCCCTGGACTCTGCCCCCTGCAACAGCAGCCAATTTACTTACCACCCATCCGGTGTAGCAGGAAGCCGCCCCAGCGGACGTCACGCAAATGCCTCACATCATTCAGGATCTGCAGGACATCCTCCAGGAGACGGACAACATCTCGGCGCCCACGGAGGCCTCGCAACAGCCGCTCCACGCATGTCCTCACTGTGACTCAGGTTTTGTCTCAGCACAATAAGGGCTGCACATGCATGTCACACATGCACGGAGACAGGGTACGCAGGTATATTCCGACCACGTTTGACCGCAGCAAGCACGCCAAGGACGGCGTGCCCATCTGCTCAGCCTGCGGCAAAGAGTTTCACCAATGGAAAGGACTGCGTGACCATCTGCTATCAGGTGCATGCCCGGAACCAGACAAGCTCCAACAGGTGTCCAGCACTCCTGAGGAGCAGCTGCTGGGACAAGCCCTCCAAGGGCCTACAGAGCTAAGGTACAAAGCTCGCCGAGCCATCGTATTGGCACCTTGGCGGCTACCCCGGAAGCTCAAGAACTCAAGCATAGATGCATGTTGTGTGGTTTTTGGACCCCGGACCATACGAAAATGAAGAACCATCACAGACAGGCCCACGCCAAGGCCTGGAATCGTGACGGCCCTGCCGCCATGCAGCTGTGTAAGGCATACTCGGTGCAGATGATCAAGGGACACCCGTGTCCCTACTGCAAGCAGCATGTCTACGACAAACGCAAGCACCCCGAGCAGTGCATCGTTCTGTTTCAGTCACTGTTCGGATGGATAAAACGTGGGGACAATGTCCTACAGCACCCAAAAAGACCGCGGTGACAATGTCACTTTCAGGATTCTTCTCAGCCAAGGGTGCAGCAGAGACGGGAGGTTCCCCACCAGAGCCCGCCATGGCCTCGTCAGACTCGGCTCGGGGCGCAGCGCCGTCAGGCCCGTACTCACGCATGCGCATCATGCTGAACTCCGGAAACACATGCTATGTCAATGCCACTATTCAAGCAATCATAGCAGTGCTGGAGTTTGTACCCCAATTATAGCTGAACTCGATCCTCTCATACAGCATTGCACCGACCGCGCTGCGGATCCACTGGATGCCAGGCCCATAAGTCCCATAGGCCTGTTCTCCCTCAGATCCCTGATGCCACGATGGAAGTTCGATGGGCGCCAGCAGGATGCCTCAGAGTTTCTGTCATGCATGCTAGCACACAATACTGGCACCTTCCAACCCACGGTG